CTTCTCGTGCTGGAGGACGGGCGCGTGGGCTTCATCGACTTCGGGATCGTGGGGCGCATTCCGGAAACCGTCTGGTCCTCCCTCCGAGATCTCAGGTACTGTTACCACTGTACCACGTTAGCTCTGGACAGGGACAGGGCGAGAAACGAAAAAGACACCAGAAGAAAACTGAAGTGCTTGACACGTTCGCCTACGTGTACCCGCCCCGTGTTGGAAGATAAGGGCTGATCGTGTTCTGCCTCAATTTTCATTTTTTCGTTTCTTTTCTTATCCTATTTCTTTTTTCTTTTTTTCCCCTATTTTTTTGTGTGTTTTTTTTTCCTGGCGGTGGATCAGCAACTATTTTTGCTGATCGCCTTCTGTCTGCATACTTTTTTTTTGCCTATTCTTGTGTGTTTTTTTCTGGCGGTGGAACAGCAACGGTTTCATCACCAACAACTACCGCCTCATGGCGACCTCCCTCGTGAAGATGGGTGCCGCGGACGGCGAGGTGGACACGGACGCCTTCGCCTTCGACATCGAGAAGGTCATCGACAGCCTCGGCTCCATGGAGGCGCAGGTGGACACGAGCGCCGTGATCGACGAGGACACTGGGAACGTGTCATACGGGACGTCGGTCAACTTCGACCAAGAGGTCTGTGTGTGCTTTTTTTAATTGTTATTTGTATCGACCGCGGTGACCGGCTGACCAATGAAAACACGTCAGTCCCAGCGTGGCTCAAGACAGAAAATGCTTCTAAAGACCATGATCTGGGACTGCTGTGTGTGTTGTTTCTTAATTTTCATCGACGGCGCCAACCGGCTGGCCAAGGAAAGACGTTAGTGCCAGCGGGAAAAATCAAGGTTCCTGGAAGTGTGTGTGTGTGCGCGCGCGAGCCGTTGTGTTTTGTACGGTTTGACGTCGTGTTTTTCGCATGTGATAGTGTCGGCATTTATCGTTTCAACAGCTGTTATATATCTGGCATCGGGCCTCACACGCGTGCGTTTTTTTTTTTCCACGTGTGCGTGGGTAGTTCAATTGTTTATTGTAATGAAGGAGACACGTTTGGCACATGTACGACAGTGTGTTGGTGCGACAGGCGTGGCGGCACGAGATTTTTTTTTTTTTTGTGATTTTTTTCGGGAGAAAGGGGGAGATCAATATTAATATTACCAATGAGTTCCCCTCCTTCTATACCCAAGCGAAACAAGACTCAACAAGGTCGGCCAAAACAAACTGGTTGAACGAGACCTGTTGACTCCAACTCCTCCACAAAACACCACGAAATGGGAAAAAAGTTGAACGAGACCATGACTGCGCCTCCCGCCCCCTCCCGCTCGCCCGTCTGCTGCACTCGTTTTGCAATGACCAAAAACCAAAAAAGTCTATCACTAGACTTCTGCTGGATATCGTCGGAGTGGCCGAGAACAACGGGCTTAAGCTTCCGAGGGAGTTCGGGATGCTTATAAAGTGAGAGAGGGGCGGGGCCGCGAAAATTCCGCTGCGAAAACGGGCGGAGGGAGAGTTCTTTCAGCTTGGAAGGGGTGTCCGGCGGTTGTGGTAGCCTTTGGGGCGTGGCGTGGGGATGGTGTGGGGTTGTGTGATGCGACTCAGTAGCCTTTGGGGCATGGCGTGGCGCGGACTTTTGCGCGTGGGCGAGAAGGTGCAGCAGCAGTCAGTCGCGGCTGCTTCGTCGGGAATGATTTGTGAAATTGTCTCACTTGATCGTTCCTCTTCTTTGGAAAGGAATTGGATATCAAGCCGCCTCCTTGGTAGGGTGGGCGAGGGAACGCAAACCAACTTAACCCAATCGATCGCAACTCATTACCGCGCCACAAACCCAACCAATGCCGACCCTACCCGCCGACCCAAATAACCCAACCTTAACTCGACGCCCCCCAGCGCCCCACAAAACAATCCAAACCCAACGTGTAGAAAACGCTGTGCCCTTGGTATATGTGTACGCATGCATAGGTATACCCAAACACCCCACCCGCTCGTGCCCGCTCGATTGCAGGCAAGCCCTGTACTTCGACCGCTACACCCGACTGCTGGCGCCGGAGCTGGACCCGCTCCGCGACGACCGGGTGACCCTGCCCAACGAGTACGGTCGCGCGGACGCGGGCCTGCGGTAGTCTAGACTCGATGGTGACGTACGTCTACAGGCCGTGGTTGCTTGGTGTGGGGGTGGCACGTCCGTCCTCGATTTTGGTGGCGAGGGGGGGGGCGGGTGTGAGAGATGGTCTGTGCCCCGCGGGGGGCGGGGGGGGGGGGGGGGGGTGCAAACCCTTCCCGTCAAGGAAGGGCATGTGCCTAATCCATGCGGTAGGTATTCGGTGGTAAGCGACAGTCAGTTGTTGTTGTCCGATGGTGGCAGCGGCTGATGGGCCTGAGAGTATGGATGATGCTACGCAGCTGCTGCTGCTGCTGCTGCAGGTAACACCAGGTGGGGGCCACGATCAACCAGCCGCGGGGGACCAGACGGGAAGCGGTGGTAGCGATGGGCGATGATGACTGATTCTGTTCTGTATGTGCGGTTGTCGAAATCGATATTGGGGTGACGGGTGTGTTATTGTTGTTGTCTTGACGGTAGTACAATGCGTACGTGAGGCATACCACCGCGAAATAAGTCAAGGTCGGGGGCTTTGGTGTTGTATCACATGTACAAAAAAAGGAAATTTTGACCGGGATGTAGAGGTGGGCGAACAACAGGGGGTTGTTGGGGGGGTCGGGCATGAAGAATCGTCCACAACATTGTTTTGCCTTGCGGCTGCGACCTCGTCCTAGCGTCCCCCTGAGATGGAACAGACGGATGATCGATCGAGGAAACTGCCGGCTTCATTTTTTCTCTGTGGGCTTGCCGGGGACCAATCTTCTTGTCATTGCTATCTTGTTTATCGCTGGCTGTACAAAAGCGCACCACCCAAGGGTCCCCACATGGTCGGGTGTGTCCGAGATCACCGCAAATCACAAAAAATACGGCCACAGAGGGTTAGTCGAGTCGGCTGCCGAAACCGACAACAGATGATAGCGTGGCAATGTTACGGACGAAATTCTACGGATCGAATCAGCTGTGCGGGAAAAGGGGTCCACATGGAGGGCAACCTAAACACTCCGGGAGGGTGGGTTTGGGGTTATCGGGGCGGTACGCAAGAGGTAACGAGTTATTGAACATCCTTTCCTACGGGATGTAGCTGCGAAGGCGGCGGCGGCGTCGTCGTCGCAATCGATCTCCAGGCGATGGAAAACGAGGCGAACGAATGGCATCTACCCGAATCCAACCTCCTGCAGCCGCCGCCGCCGCCGCCGCTGTAGCTGCACAGCGAAGTGACCATCCGAAACCAATCGGTACATGCGGTCGCGCAAACAGCCAGAAGCCAATGCTCCGTGAGCTCGAAGCACCCGGAATCCGGAAAGCGACAAGCACGATACACCAGTGCTCGGTGTGCTCCAAGTACCCGGCCTGTGAAAAGAAACCGATCAATCGAACCGTGCTCGTCCGAGACACCCCGCAGACAGCCGAAGGAAAAGAAGCACGCACACCAGACACATGCATGCGTGGAAAGCACTCTTTTGGGAACAGTCATCATTCGCGGATCGGGATACACCCGTGTGCAAATGGTGAACACACCGCCGACCAAAACCAAAGAAAGGCCAGCAGAAGGTAGGGTCAAGCACCCGCACAGCCGCAAAATACAGGTTGCATCATGCAGCTACACACGCCCTGACGGCTGCCGCTGACACTGGCACCCCGCCAGGAGTAGCAGCAGCAGCAGCAGCAGCAGCAGCAGCAGCAGCAGCAGCACGAAACACTCTTCTCTTACGTTAAAGTGTTCTTGCTTTACGCCAACACGCATGCCGCTACTACTGTACTTCACTTCCTTAGCTCTCCCTCCCCACCCAACGGTCCCCTAACCCACACCCCGGCTGTTTCACTTCATTCTGGACCAAAGCCCGGAACCCGATGATGCACGGCCGGCTTCAAGACCCTAAAGCACCCCACGCTGTCCACCAGCCAGATCGGCCTCACGACGTCAACCACCACCCCCACCCCGTCCTCGTCCTCGTCCCGGCCCCACCCACCGCCGCCTCTGGGGGCGCTCTCCGAACCCTGCCGCAACAGCTCCGCCTCCGCCGCGAGAGCGGCGGCCAGCTTCTTCTCCTCCATCGCCCGCTGGTCTTCGTCGGGCGAGGACGGCTGGAAGATCACCACCTTTCGCGGCCGCCACCCACCTCTGCCACCGCCGCCGCCGCCGCCGCCGCTCCCGGAGCCGAGCGGGATCGATCGCGCGCCGCAGAGGGACCCGAGCGTGCTCACCACCTTCCCGGCGTTGGCGAGCAGCATGGACTCTAGATCGGAGAGCGGGGGAGACCCCGTGGTCCCGAACTGGCCCCGGAAGTGGAACATGATGCCCTGGAAGAGTCCCGGCCGATCCTGATGGCAAAACAGCGGATAGACGTGTCGCCCATGTCCGAATCGGAACAGCGGGGTGGGGGGACGATCAGAAGCGTCGATGATATGGCAGCAGCACTGCCTACAAAATAGATTCAATCCTACAATATGCAGAACATACGTGTGTGGCTTGTTTTTTCGCACACATAGCGCGGTCCATGCCAATACCAAAGACACAAAACACACACACACACACAACGGCTCACCACATCCGCGTGGGCCAGCCTCGACCGTGTCGGAGCGGAGGGGACGTGGCTCTTCTTGTCCCCGGCCACCTCGAACGCCTCCTCCTCCGCCCGGCACCCCCGCCGCCTGCACTCCTGCAGCCAGGCCTCGGTCACGACCCACTTGCCGCCGGCCACCGCCCTGAGGAACTTGACGCTTCGGACCCTGGCCTTGGCGGTCTTCGGCACCGTCCCGCACACGACGTGGGTAACGGCCTCCGTGTACTTGGGCTCCACTCGCCACCCGCGGCTTATGTGGGCGAAGTCAGGGGAGGGGGGGGGGGGAAGGGCGGGCGTACCAATAAGGCGTTTGGAGTAACGAATAAAGACAGGCTTCCAATTGTTGTTTGATCTAGAGTTTTCCTTTTAGTGCCGGGAGGACGGTTCAATTCGCAACAGGATCATTTCATCGCCGACCCCCAGTCGCCGCCTGCCTCACCTCTTCGCCAACGAGTCCGCCAGCTTCGACATCTCGCTCGAGGAGCCGCTCATGGTCAGCACCACCGCCCCGTCCTCCTCCGCCGCCACCACCGCCGCCGCCGCCGACGTCGCTTGGCCACGCCGTCCGTTTGCGCATGCTCCTTGAAGACCACCACCATCACCGCGACCATCAACACCGCCACGGCCGCCGCCGCCGCCGCCGCTGCTGCCTCCTGCCTTTGCGGTCTTGCTCTTCCCCTTGCCCGAGGTCACCGGTCGACCGCCAACCTCCGCCGATTCACTACCAGGCGGCCTGCAACGCTTCCTTACAGCAGCAGTAGGAGGAGCGGCAGCACGCCCACGCGATCGAGATCCACTGCTACCACCACCACCACCACCATGACTGTTGAAGTCGACCGTCGCCGTTGGCAATGGCACCGCAGCATTGTCCCCGCTGTTCGTCTCATCGCTAAGGGCCGTAATATCGAAAATGTCGTGGTTGTCGCCGCCGCCCCCGCCCCGACCTTCTGAATCAAGCGGCGGCGCCGTCGTCAAGAGCGTCATACCATTATCCCCGCTATTCGACCCCGCGCTCAAGGCCGAAATATCGAAAACCTCCATGCCTTCGCTGGCTTCGTTGGCGCTGCTGCTGATGCGGCGGCGACGGCGGCGGCGGCGGCGTCCTTGCCCTTGCGAAGGTCCTCCCTCGACGTCGTCCGAGACTTGCCGCTCATCTCTGCCTCCATCACCCCGGGTGGTGTCGTCGTCGTCAACACCACCACCACGCGCCATGCGCTTCCTCTTACCGACGACGCCCTTTGCGCTTCCTTGCCCCCCCCCGCCGCCGCTGCTGCCGCTGCTTCCAACTCCCCGGCCCGATACTACGACGGTGACATCGTCATCGCCTTCCTTTGCCTCTTCTTCCGCCGCCGTTGCCGCCGCCGCCGCCGCCGCCGCGGGCGAAGCTCCGTCCTCCCTCCTCCGACTCTCGTCCACCTTGCCGCCACCGTCGCCGGCGCTGCCGGCGCCGCTGCTGCCCTCGTTCGGGTCAAGCAGCTCGCCGAGGTCAGGGTCCAGGTCTAGCTCCGGGTGCTGGGTCTCCCCGAGCATGTAGCTGAGGCAAGCCGCGTAGGCCTGGCCGGCCGCCAGGTCCGGTGAGCACCACCCCTTGCGAGACGTCCTGCGCACGCGCGACGACGACGGCGCCTCCTTCGACGCCGGCGTAGAAGACCGTGACGAGGACCCCAAGGAACCGGCGGCAACGGCACCCCGCCCCCCTCCTCCGCGTTCGCGCCTGCCGTCGCCGCCACCACCAGCGCTGGCGCTCTCCTCGTCGTTGTCGTCGTCGTCCACCGCATAGAAGGAAATGATGCCGGCCGGCACGCCTTTCTCCCTGCCGTGGTGCACGATGTACTTGACGTCGCACGTCCCGTCCGGGCGGACGAGCGTCACCTTTGCCACGCCGCCTTCCTTGTTAACCCCGGGGGAGGAGCGGGAGGGCACGCTGACCAAATCGCCCGCCTTGAACGACGGGGTGGCGGGCCGCCGCGCCGCCGCCGCCGCTGCCATCGGAGGTGTTTGCGGCAGCAACGGGCGAGGAGGAGGAGGCGTCGACGACGACGACGACGACGCGTTCGGAGGTCGCGCCAAGGCCGGGGAGCGGTAGGACGGCGGCGGCGGCGGCGGCATTGCCCGCCTCGTTGTCCGTAGCAAGCCGGTCGCTGATGAGGGGCTTCCGGGTCCGAGCCGCCGCGAAAATGATGCCGTGCTGTTCGGAGTACCCACGGGGTCATCACAAGCCCCACCCTCTTCTTCCTTGGCTTCTTCTTCTGCGGGAGGTACCGGCGGTTTCGAGCCACCACCACCACCACCACCACCGGCGGCGGCGGCAACGGCGACGTCATCACCGTCCCTCCTGCTGACGCTACTCGTTGGTCGAGCGGGAGGTGCGCCGCCATCGCGGCCATGCTCGAGAGAACCACTACCGTGGCGCACGGAAGGGGACATCGAGAGCAAGGTCTCCGCGGTCTCGAGCGCAGCGGGGGCGGCGGCGGCGGCGGCAAGCGAAACCGGGGGCCCTTCCGCAACCGGCGCCAATTCACGGCCGCGGCTGCTGCTGGTTTGACCCAACGAGGGGGTGTTTCTCGGCGCCTGGTGCGACACCGGCCTTGTTGTCGGCGTGTCCCCTTCGCGGTGGTCGTCGACGCCGACATCGTCCATCCTCGAGTCTTCCTCTGCGTCTTCCTGGACATCGCCTGCTGGCGGGGTGCAGCTGCCGCCGCCGCGGTTGCCGGTCGAAGCTAGCGCCACCAGCCCTTCCGCAGCGCTTGCGAGCGTCGTCCGATCTCCCGCGCCGCAGTCGCTCGAAAAGGGCGGGGGCGGGGGGAGGGGAGGATCTCGCCGCCCACGGTGCGCCGCGCCGTCGGGTCCGGCGGCACCCTCCCGTGAGCGCCACGGGAGATTCGGCCGAGACGTGGGTGAAAGTGGGGGCACGGTTTCTTCCGTAGAGCCCCCGGTGATGCTACCCGGCGGCGATAGCGGTGCTGCTCTGCCGCTGCTGCTGCCAACGTCAGTCTTCTTCCTTCGCTCTTCTTCTTGCTCTCGCTCGGTCTCTTCGCTCTCGGCCGGAGACAGCAGCAGCTCTACAGGGTTTGCCTCAGATCCGTCGCCGCCCTCTACTTGTTTTCCATCTCCCTCCTCCGGACCACGGCCATCCTCCTCGCAATCTCCTCCTCCTTTCTCTCTCGGGTGTGGGGCGGTGCTGTCGAGACCTTCGTAGTCTGAGTCGCTTTCGTTGTCGTCGTCGTCGCTGATCTCGTCGTCGACATCATGGCCGTTGTCGAAGTAGTCCTCCCCTAAGCCCTCCCCCCCGCCGTTATCAGACGATGACGTATCCGAGTGAAACGAGCCCCCTCTAGCATCGTCGTGGCTATGCTCGTCGCCGCCGCCGCCTCGATGTCGAGCATCTGCTCCACGTCCCTCCTCTCCTCTGCTTCCCGCCAAATCATCGCCAGTAGCGGCAGGAGGGGAGTCCGCGAGAGCAGAAGAAGCATGTGAAGAGGCAGACGTCGCCGCAAGCGCAACAGGAGCAGCCACACCACCCGGGGCCCGATCCCTCTCGGGGCCGTCCTCTTCGGCCGCTCCACCGCCATCGCAGACGGGAGTTCGAGACGGTGTCCGTTGCGGCAGCAGAGCAGCGGCCGTGGTGGAGTCGGGGGCAACAACGCAACTGCTGCTGCTTCCGGCAGGCTCCGCACCGCCCGCGGCGGCGGCGGCGGCGGCGGCGGCGGCGGCGGCGGCGGCGGCGGCGGCGGCGGGGCGAATCACTGTGGACCTCCCCCGGGGAG